TCAGGATTGGAGGAAGACTTATTAACAATCTGAGATATGCAGATGATACAGCCTTGCTTGCCGAAAGTGAAGGATTATATCTAGGTTCCTGTATACTACCAAGACTCCACAAGAAGCCTATTTCACTGGGCAAGTTTAGAACTCCTTTTAGGTATTTCAGTGAGTTATATATAAGCTGAAGACGGGCTTACAGACTTTCAGTAATTTTGTTTCCCAATATTCCGTTTTATCCCACTTGAGTGTCTATTTTACAATAGGAGGCAAGGGAAACCAGTATTCATAAGATAGTCAAGCATCCTACTAACATTATTTCCCCTCTTTTACCCAGATGATGCCTTGATCCTGGTATCACAGAGCCCTGTTGTTCCAAGGTGGAGCATGCATCACTATTTACCTCTGTCCCAGTTAGCCCATGCAAACCTACCTATGTGGTTCCCTATCTACCTTGTTCTTTAATACCCTCCCCCTTCATGTGTAGTGCCCTCCCCAACACTCGAAATATGATGTGTCTGTCTCTTACCCTGTACTCTGCCATCCCGCTCCCTCCCACTGTCAAGGTCATATTTTTATTTTGTGGACTTGTTTTAATTTTCTTCAGCTTCATCCTGAACTTGCATATGAACAGTAGATGGACTGTTCCACAGAATGTCCCTGGCCTTTGTTTATCTTTTCCCACATATGTAATCAATTAGATCTCTGTTTATGCCATGTGGAGAGGTCCATGTGTAGTCACTGTTTATGTTATATGAAAAAGGTATTTGCAGTGATAAATTATTGATCTTGTAAAAGTCTGTCATGCTATTACAGCATTGCCAGTAGTGGATTACTTAAAATAATAGCGTACATTAAATATAATAGTTTTCTTGACATTTAATATAATAAGCTATATTGTGCAATTAAAAAAGTCTGTTTCTTAGATCTGAGTTTATCATATGCTTAGTATGTGAAAGTATAATTAGTGCCTGCCTTATGGAAATGTAATGCATTCTCAAGAAATTTGATCTACATTTATATTAAGAGTTTTATTGCAGATATATTTGTGATTAAATAAGGTACTTTTCATTTTAATAAAAGACATAATACCCAGAAAATCATTATATGTATGTTTTCCTTAAATTGTTATTTATGATATTTTTGCTTTCAACAAAGTATCTTACATTATATGTTTAACCATTACAGCTCTTCTCACATATCAGTAGCTGTTTTGGCTTGGTATAATTTGCCAGCCTTTTAGGAGGTAATATAATGTGTAGAGACACAGCTTTGATTTTTTTTTCTTATGAACATTGTTTTTAGATGGATAACTTGTTCAGAAATATTTTTTGCCACATAATTTTGTTTAGTTGGAAAGGGTTTCAAGATTTAAAAAGCTCTCTTTGTTCAAGGTAATAGCATTACCAGTGTATTATATATCTTTGTGCAACAATCTAATAATATTAAAATAATCTACTGAATATATACAGATAGGTTAAGTGCCATCATGTCAGTTCCGTCCCATAGGGACCTTGAATAGGGTTTCCGAGGAGCAGCTGGTGAATTTGAACCATTGACCTTGTGGTTCAAACTGACCTTGCAGTCGAGTGCTTATCCTATAGCGCATCAAGACTGTCATAGTTATTCAGGTTTGGTTCCAGACCACTGCAGTATGCAAGTCACATGAATGTTTTGGTTTTCCTGTGCATATAAAAGTTATGTTTACGCTATAGTCGATTATTAAAGTATTTTGTAGATAGTATGAATTATGCCAATAGCATTATGAAAAAGTTTGAAGTATTGCAAGAATTACCAAAATAGGACTCAGACATTATTAAGTGAGCTCATGCTGTGAAGAAATGGTGCCAATAGAATTCTTTGAGGAAGGTTTGCTACAAACCTTTAATTTGTAAAAGAAACACATTTCTGTGAAGTGCAATAAAACTAAGTACAATAAAATGAGTTATGCCTATTACTCATTCTTATTTCTTTACTGCCTAGTTTTCAAATCATAGTTCTTTGGCCTTTGGGCTCATGCTCTTTTGCATCATTGAATTATTGTTGTTAAGTGCTGTTGACTCAGGTACAACTCATAGCAACCCTGTATAGAATTTCCAAGGAATAGTGGGTTTGAACTGCTGACTTTATGGTCGCAGACCAGTGCTGATCCTACAGAGCCACACCAGGAGTACAGTTGGGTAGGCATTAATTTAATCACTGGGGAGTTAAGTTTAATCTGTGCTTGAGCTAAAGTATTGTTTTGTTTTTTAATAGTTGTGTGGAGTTCGACTTGAATGTAAACAATATTGTTGGAATAAGAAACACATTCCTTCTCAGAGCTTATGCATACCGTAAGTTTTGGTATATTTCTAAATAATTATGCACTACTTTGTTTTTGCTTCAAGCCTTACTCTTTTTAAAGGTGTTTATAGTAATTAGAACTATTTTGTTGTGTTTAAATATACTGTATCATATTATTTTGAATAATATGTTGCTACATTAAAATCATTAAATGTATTTCAATAATTGATAATTTTTCCAAGTTAACTAAATTAAGTTTTAAAAGACACATTTATGGTACATATAGTAATTAGTCTACATGAGAAAATTCTCTTTATTGGCATGGAGTTGGGAAATGATGTACACTTTCAAAGTAACTGTAATATATTCTTATCACTTTTAAGTTTTAATTTTACTTTCAGTTGAAAATCGAGTTCGTCCATTAGTATTGGTGATTAAGAAGTGGGCAAGTCACCATGAGATAAATGACGCCAGTCGTGGTACTTTAAGCAGCTATAGTCTTGTGTTGATGGTTTTACACTATTTACAAAGTAAGTATTAAGTTTTTTCCCCTAAAATTTAAATGTGAAATGCATTTAAACTTTACTATGATATCTTCCCTATTACCCTGTTTCAACAGCATTGTTTAAAAAAAATTCTTTTTAAGGCCCAGGGATTCCATTTTAAACAAACATTTTTGAAATGTTATTCTCTGGTAAATACTATAAAGAAATTTAAATGTATTCTCATATTTCTACTATTATTTTTATACCCACTTTTGTAGTAAAATTTTCACCACTGTATTTTGGAACCATCATCTTGAGGCAGGCAAATGTTCAGAAGGCCTATAAAATAAACTCAAGTACCATTTCATTGCATTTTAAAATTTTAATTTGAGATAGGAATTAAATGATTTCCTTTTTGGTCAAAGAAACTTTCAATTTTCTACGTGATCAAAATAATTTAGCTTTTGATTCAAGAGTGAGCTGCCCTCTGCAACTAGATTTATCTTTACAGGAGTATTATGTCAGATTGGCCTTCAAATTTTAATTCAATCTAGCTAGCTTTTATTTATTAGATAATTCTGATAGAAACCTACTTGAACACTTACTTGTATTTTGTTCCGTTCATGGATAGGTCTGTGAGAATTTTTATGTGTTGAAAACTCCATGGAAATAATAGGACTGGCTGACCATATATGGTGGAAACCTTTACTTCTAATTACATATTTCATATTTTAAAATGTTATATAAATAAAAATTCAAGAAATAACACTTAAGCCACTTTGCATATTCTATTTGATTGGACAATAAACGTTTAAAATGGTTGCATACTGTTTTATAGTTATTAGATTATAGGTTTGAGATGTTTTACAACTGACCCACTAAATATGAATTTCTAGTGACATGGAAATCAGGTGAAAAACTTGATGTTAATATAATAGGAGAGCTTTTACTGGGAAGTCTAAGGCATGATCTATTTCAGTTAATATTTTCAGTGTAGAATCTTGTTTGCCAAAGATTATAGTAATAGAGAAAAACACATTTTAGCATATAACATTTATTTATGCATTTCATGAATATTTATTGAGCATCGCTACATAAATGCCAGGTATTGTTCTAGCAGGGCTTCTGGCGTAGTGCTGTAGAGTAAATGCAGGACTGCCAGCTCAGTTTGAACCACAAGGTTGGCAGTTCAAACTCACCAGTCACTCCTCGAAAACCCTATACTGGGGTGTTTATGGATTGAAATCCACTTGAAAGCACTTAACAACGACAAAAAACTTGTTCTAAGAAGGAACCTTGGTGGCCATTGAGTTAAGTTTTGGACTGGTAACCAAACCCACAGTCACTCCAAGTGAGAAAGATGAGGCAGTATGTTTCCGTAAAGATTTATAGCCTCAGAAATCCTGTGGCGCAGTTCTACTCTGACCTTCTATGGTGTTAAAATGGTGTAGTGGGTTTGGTTTGGTTTTCTGTAGATTATTGTTCTAGGATCTGCAAATATATCAGTGAACAAAATAGAAAAACAGTACATACATTTCTTCATGGATTTTATATTCTCTTCATTTAAAATGTAACATTTTACTACCTCTTACCTGCCAAAACATAGGGATTGTTTACTGCTATAACTCATGGGTTACTGAGGTTGTGTTGGACAATGTGATTTTTTTATTGTTAATGTGTGAATTGAGTTGCTGATGAATCAGCATGTTGTATGCTCTATGACAAATTATTAAATTATTACAGTGTGTTTTTAAGTGCCATCAAGTCAGTTCTGGCTTACAGCGACCCTGTATAGGGTTTCTGAGGAGTTGCTAGTGAGTTTGAACCTCTACCTTGCAGTTCAAACTTAACTTGTAGTCTAGTGCTTATCCTTCAGCGCCATACCAGAGATCCGTATTCTAATGTTGTTGTTGTTATTGTTAAGTGTCATTGAATTGGTTCCTGTATATGGTTTCCAAGGAATGGCTGGTGAATTTGAATCGACAACCTTTGTTGTTCAAAATGACCTACAATCCAGTGCTTTATCCCACAGCACCACAAGGTAGTGATTTAAAAAAGATACATACCTGGTTTTTAAATGTCATTTTTTTGCATTATTTGGTGTTTAGATTCTGAGAGCAATAATGTTGTTGTTATGTGCGGTCGAGTTAATTCTGATCCATAGCAACCCTGTATAGGGTTTCCAAGGAGAAGCTGGTGAGCTTGAACCACTGACCTTGCAGTTGAAATGACTTTGCAGTCTGACGCATTAGCCCGCAGTGCCACACCAGGACTCCAAGAGAAATAATTGTTGTTGTTATGTGCCCTGGAGTTGGTTCCGACTCATAACGACCCTGTACAGGGTTTCCGAGGCTGTAAATCTTGATGGGAGCAGAGAGCCTCATCTTTCTCCCGCGGAACAGCTGGTAATAGAGGCTAGCAATTTGTCAAAGACAGCAGAAGAGTCAGCTGATTGAAAGTTGAAACAATTTGGTGCCCTTACATCAGCATTTCTCTACTGAGGATATTGGACACTGGGAAAAAGAAGGAACGTATCATACTGGGGCATGTAGTTTCATAGTACATATAATCCTGGGAGAGTATGCTTCTTTGAATTGAGACTAGAGGATGATCTGTAAGTTGAAAATACTCTACTGATAAGAAGTTGGAAGTAATGGGGGACAGAAGAAAAGATTGCCATATCAGTGGGTTTAAACAGAGTGGTCATTGATAAGGAGGGTATGACAAATTCATTCTTTTCAAAGATCTGGCTTAGCATAGGTCTTTAATGATGAATCCATGAACAAAACTTATATTACTCAATTGTTGAGCTTCAGCACTAAAATTCAGTGGTGGTGGTGGTGGGGTGTGCCATGGAGTTGGTTCTGACTCAAGGTGACCCTGTGTATAGGGTTTCTAAGTCTTCATCTTTCTCTTGTGGAAAAGCTAGTGGTTTCGAACTGCTGACTTTGGGTTTAGCAGCCTGGCTCATAACCACTATGCTACCAGAGCTCCTTAAAAGTTAATAGAGACAATGAGTAAGACTTGTGATCACAGATTTAATTTTAACTTTGTTTCAGACTTATTATATTTAAAATTATAATGGAACTGTTGTTGTTGTTAAGTGCTGTTGAGTCAATTCTGACCCATAGCAACCCTGTATAGGGTTTCCGAGGAGCAGCTGGTGAGATTGAACCGCCTACCTTTCCGTTCAAACTGCTTTGCGGTCTGGCACATTAACCCACAGTGCCACACCAGGACTCCTAGTGGTATTGAAATATAACTTTTACATTTTAACCCACCAGCCACTCCTTGGAAAACTTATACAAGGTTGCAGTGAGTCGAAACCTGCTTGATGGCACTGAACAACAAAACAGCAGTCTATATAGTGTCTCCAGGAGTCAGAACCAGTACTCATCTGTCTTTTGTACTGTTGGTGGCTTGTATGTTGCTGCAATTCTGGAAGCGGTGCCACAGGTATTTTGAATGTTGGCACGGTCACCTATGGTGGACAAGTTTCACCTGAGCTTCTAGACTAAGAGAGACTAGGAAGAAGGAGAGGTATTTTTCCATATATTTAGTCACTGAAAACCTTACGATTAGCAGTGGAACACTGTCAAACCAGAATATTGAATCATGATGAAGAGCAGCAGAATATTGTCAGATACAGTGTCAGATGAGCCCCTCTGGCTGCAATGCACTCATATGTCTTCTGGGGAAGAGCTGCCTCAACAAAGTAGAATTGACTGTAATTATGCGACTAGAGTAAAGCTTTCAGGACCTTTATTGGCTTGGGGCGGGGGGGGGCTACAAGTCAAAATGAGAAACAGCTGCAAACATCCGTTAATAATCTGAACATGGAATGTATGAAGTATGAATCTTGGAAAATTGGAAACTGTCAAAAATGAAATGGAACACTTAAGATCGGTGTCCTAGGCATTAGTGAGCTGAAATGGACTGGTACTGACCATTTTAAATTTGACTGTCACATGTTTATACTATGCTAGAAATGACAAATTGAGGAGGAATGGCATTGCATTCATCGTTAAAAAGAACATTTCAAGATCTGTCCTTAAGTGCAACACTGTCTGTGATAGGATAATATCCATATGCCTACAGGGATGACCGGTAAATACAACTATTATTCAAATTTATGAACCAAACACTAAAGCCAATGATGATGAAATTGAAGAATCCCACCGACTTTTTAAGTCTGAAATTGCTCAAACTTGGAATCAAGATTGATAATCACTGGCGATTGGAATGCAAAGATTGGAAACAATGAGGAAGGATCAGCAGTTAGAAAATCTGGCCTTCATGATAGGAACAATACTGGAGATAGCATGATAGAATTTTGGAAGACCAATGACATCATTGCAATCAAGATGTATTGCTCATTACTGGTGATTGGAATGCAAAAGTAGGGAGCAAAGAGGAGGGTCCAGTAGTTGGAAAATTTGGACTTGGTGATAGAAATGATGCTGGAGAATGGATGATAGATTTCTGCAAGACAAATGATTTGTTTATTTCAAATACCTTCTTTAGACAGCATAACAGACGACTGTACACATGGACCTTGCCAGATGGAACACTTAGAAATCAAATTGACTACATCTGTGGAAAGAGAAGATGGAAAAGCTCCATTTCCTCAGTGAAGATAAGGCCAGGGGCAGACTGTGGAACAGACCATCAATTACTGATGTGCAAATTCAAACTGAAACTGAAGAAAATGAAAACAAGTCTACGAGAGTAGAAGAACAGATTTGAAGACCAGAAGAGTTGTGGGATGACATCAAGAACATCATACATGATGAGAGCAAAAAGTCATTAAAAAGACAAGAAAGAAGGAAAAGGTCAAAATGGATGTCAGAGGAGACTCCAGCGTAGAGAAGCTAAAGCAAATGGAAGAATTGAAGAGGTCAAAGAGCTGAACAGAAAATTTCAAAGATCAGCTCGAGAAGATAAAACCAAATACTATAATAAAATATGCAATGATTTAGAGTTGGATAACCAAAAGGAAAGAACACAGTCAGCATTTCTTAAGCTGGGGGAACTAAAGAAAAAAT